GCTTCACTAGCAGCGGTGGCTTTTCTGTCCCAAGGCTCGGCCCACAGATTTCCGCTGCTTTCCTCTCCTCTGCCTTCTGCACATCCATGTGTCAGGCACTGGACCCAGCTGTTCCTCCTCTTCCTCATCAGCCACCTCCAGACCTGGGGGCTATTGACCCTCCATCTGAGGGCTGATGGATGGCGTAGGCTCTGCCTCTGACTCTCTTTCTCTGCCAGCTCGATTCCCTCTTCCCCCTCAGAGCTCTCAGGTTGCCTAGATGCTGACCCTGAGTCCCACGCCTCCTCCTCATCTGATTCAGATGCTGGAGGGGCCGGTGGCCAAGAGGCCACAACACATCCCATTGAAGCTCCTCTCTCAAAACCTGGACCTTACCTGAGACATTGCTTTTCAGCCAGATCATATTTCTCATCCTGGAAAGCTTTGGGTCTTTAATTGTCATGCAGAGGTGGTACTGTTGGACGTGAAAAATACTTTAAATCAGGGGTGAAATGTAAAATCTGTTACTACTGGTTCTGTGGGCGTGACTTGGTGGGGGGATAATGTGACTGGGTGGGTGTGGCCAACTTTTTTTTTTTTTAAACTTTTCAAAGCATTTTTTGGTTGGAAGAGGTTGTAGAAAAAATGCTTTTAAAAGTAAAAAAAAAAAAAACCTCTGACGATCGTGCAGCTCAGCTGGGCATGGGGGGGGGGGGGCGTAGGGATTTTTGCTACCGGTTCTCTGAACCACCTACCGCCATCGCTACCGGATCAGGTGATCCTGTCCGAACCAGGAGCATTTCACCCCTGCTTTAAATATAGCAATAGAAATAGCACTTAGACTTATATACCGCTTCATAGTGCTTCACAGACCTCTCTGAGCGGTTTACAGAGTCAGCATATTGCCCCCAACAATCTGGGTCCTCTTTTACCGACTTCAGAAAGATGGAAGGCTGAATCGATCTTGAACTGCTCAGGTTCAAATTCTTGGCTACGGGCAGAGTTAGCCTGCAATACTCCATTCTAACCACTCTGCCACGCTCAAATACTTTGGCCACCTAATGAGAAGAAAGGACTTATTGGAAAAGACAATTGATATTTGGAAAAGATTGATGGCAAAAGAAGAAAGGAACAGCAGTGGATGAGATGGTTAGATGGTCATTGACACAATGAACATCCATTTGGACAAACTCCAGGAGACGGTGAACAACAGGGCCCCCTGGCGTGCTATGATCCATGGAGTTGTGAATAATTGGACGCAACTTTGTTGTTGTTAATTGCGAAGTCATGTCCAACCCATCATGACCCCATGGACAACTTTCCTCCAGGCTTTCCTGTCCTTTACCATTAGGCTCTTCTCCAGTGAGTCCTTCCTTCTCATTAGGTGGCCAAAGTATTTGAGTTTCACCTTCAGGATCTGGCCTTCTAAAGAGCAGTCAGGGTCGATCTCTAGGACTGACCAATTTGATTGCCTTGCAGTCCAAGGGACTCGCAGGAATCTTTTCCAGCACCATAGTTCAAAGACCTCAATTCTTTGATGCTCAGCCTTCCTTATGGTCCAACTTTCACAACCATACATTGCAACTGGGAAAACCATAGCCTTGACTATACGCCCTAGACACAACTTAGCGATTGAACGACAACAACAAATACCAAGTAGGCTAGATGGGGAAAGATTTGATACAGGGTAGCATAGCTTTGGATATCAGCAAACCTCTTAACTCTGTAGAATGGCTTTCAAGAAGATCTACCATCTATTTTCTCTCTGCAGCTCTGCTTCCCTCGTTTTCTCACTTAAGATCTGTCAAGATCTCCATTCTCTGGACTTCTCTCCTGGTCTTATTTGTTGAAGGTTTCCTACTTGGTGTAACTGCTCTGATTAAATCTTCAATCAGAGTCAGTTGTGAGCATAGACACATCCCTGAAGTTATTCACAAAGCTCTTTAACCCTGTAGGTTGAGTGAATAGAATGCAGATTTGATCTTCTATAGGTAGACTGAGAGCTCCCGATTCCACACAAGTTTTAAATTCTGTGAGGAAATAATTGAAATGCTTTCCTCATGAGAAATTCCATACTAATAACTGTTCCAATTTTCCTCAGAACCACTGCATTTCAAATTCATTTTTTCTTTAGAAATTAAATTTACATTTGTACACACTGTTCTCATATTTCACTTATGTTAGCTCAGCAGACCTGATAAAACTTTGTTATATGTTATTGTAGGGCAGCACCTTATTATAAATGGGAGCGGCTGAGGAGGAAAGAAGTGTTCTAATGGAAAATGGGAATTATTAAGTCAAGCATCAAGAGTACACCAAATTGCCTATTCCTGTTTGAAAGGCATTTCTGTGTTCTTCTTTAACTAGCTGTTTCTGGCAGTAAATGTAGTATCCAAACAATCAGGATTTTTAATATGACTCCTGTGAAGTTTCTGTGTTTCGATCAGTAAGCAGTTGGAATATTTTTGATCCTTCCACATCAAGCTAAAAATCTTGGACTATTGTAGAACCTGGGTATCAGATGCAAAAGTCTATGCAGAGGCAATCCATTCCTGCATTCATTGCAATACAGTACCGGTAGTTCTCAATTTACAGCCATTTGTTTAGTGACTGTCTGTTGTGACCTAGGCTTACTGAGTCATTAAAACACACGAGTAGTCGCAAAAAGCTCTTTTATTGCAACAGCTGTGAATTACTTTCATTCACAGCTGAGTCCCAATTAGTTGCAAAAAGTCCTTCGGGATAATCACCAACCTTTATCTCCCTTGACACGCTGCCAAAGACTTACTTGGCTAAGTCACACAGAGTCCAGAATCAAACAGAGATGCTGACTGGGAACAGAATTAACAACATTGCTTTCCTGCAAAGGGCCCACATGCCTTTGCTCCTCTTTTAAGCCATATGAGAGGGGCCAGTCATCTCCAGGCCTTACTCCCAAGTCGTCCCTTTTGTTTTAGCTGTTCTTGCCTTCTGACAGCTCTGCACATGCACGCACTGGGAACAGGCTCCTCCTGTTCCTCTGCCTCTCTGATGTCTGACTCTTGAGGCTCTGGAGTCCGTGCATCACTCCCAGATGGCCCTGGCCCCATCTCTGCCTCCGACGCAGAGCGCTTGTCCGGGCCTTTCCAAGACTCCAGAACTGGCCCATGTTCCTCCCCAGCCTACTCACTGTCTGACTCTGCTGCCAGCTCTGCAGTCTGCTGGTGGACCACAACACTGTCTGAAGTTACAATGGCACTGAAAAAAGTGACTTATGACCATTTTTTCACACTTACGACCATTGTAGTATCCCCATGGTCTCATGTGGTTTACATTCAGATGCTTGGCAACTGACTTACATTTATGACGGTTGCAGGGCCCCCGAGTCACGTGATCCTGTTTTGCAACCTTCTGACAAGCAAAGTCAATGTGGGGGGGGACCAGATTCACTTAACAATCATGTTAGTAATTTAACAACTGCGGCGATTCGCTTAACAAATGTGGCAAGAAAAATCGTAAAATGGGGCAAGGCTCGCTTAACAAATTTCTCACTTAGCAATATGAATCTTGGGCTCAATCGTGATCGTACGTTGAGGACTATCTATACAGGAAATCCTTTAACACACAAGCATATTGGAGCCTGCCATTTATGTGATAATTGTAAAATGAGTTTATGACCGTTTATGCAGCAGATGTACACGGCAGTCATAAAGTGAACACAGGGAACATTAAGTGAACTCATTATTTGATATGGTGTCGTTTTACTGAAAACATTTAAGTAAGTGCTGGTTTTCGGCAAAACCATCGCAAACCGTGGTCATGTGACCACGGGGTGCTGCAAACAGATGTAAATGCAGCTGGGATTGCTGAGCACCCAAAGTGTGTGTGTGTGTGTGTGTGTGTGTGTGTGTGTTGTGACCTTCAGAACTGGGTTGTAACTCCCTTTTTCCAGGTAGGTTGTAAGTTTGAACAGTCGCTAAGTGACTTGTCGTAAGTCAAGGACTATCTGTATTTGTTCTTATGCTTATCTTTGGGAAGCTTGTTTGGCAACTTTCCATGAGGGATTTGGAAGGGCTTCACGCCAGTCAGTGTCCCTTAAACCCCAAGAAATGCTCCTTTCCAAATGGAGCAGAAGGTACAGGTTGTTCTTTACCACGCTTGGAACCATAAAAAGTGCATTGGTGCAACCTTTATGGAATCCAGAACGGGGTCTCTGAAGAGTTGATTCTATATGAAAGACAAAAAAATTCATGGGGAATGCTTGACATAATCCAAATGAAAATTCTAAGCTCCGTTTCTAACACAGATTCAAGATTCAGTCTGTTAGAGATTCTCAGCCATCCAGGTCATGATTGTCCCAAAGGTGGTTTTTCAGGAGGCAACTGGACTTTTTTGTTTTTTTCTTTTGAAGACGTTTCGCTTCTCATCCAAGAAGCTTCTTCAGCTCTGACAGGATCCATTCCTTACTATTCTGGCAGAGCTGAAGAAGCTTTTTGGATGAGAAGCGAAACGTCTTCAAAAGAAAAAAGAAAAAAAACCAAGGAAGTCCAGTTGCCTCCTGAAAAAGCATCTTTGGGACATTTAAGATCCAGGGTACTTATTGATTTAGGTCCATGTCTACCAGTGGTGGGTTTCACAATTTTTTACTACGGGTTCTGTGGGTGTGGCTTGGTGGGCAATGGCATGGCTTGGTGGGCGTGGCCTCTCCACTCCAGGGGAAGGATACTGTAAAATCTTCATTCCCACCCCACTCCAGGGGAAGGATACTGCAAAATCTCCATTCCCTCTCTACTCCAGGGGAAGGTTGCTGCAAAATCTCCATTCCCTCCCGATCAGCTGGGACTCGGGAGGCAGAGAATAGATGGGGCGGGGCCAGTCAGAGGTGGTATTTACCGGTTCTCCGAACTACTCAAAATTTCCGCTACCGGTTCTCCAGAACTGGTCAGAACCTGCTGAAACCCACTTCTGATGTCTACCTTTCCCATGCAAATATATAAAACCTTGCGTTTTTCTTTTTCTCCCCTCCCCCCCGCCCCCCGCAGTTACTTGGCTGATCAGTGCTGGAATGGCGGCTTCATCTACTTGATCATGTTACGCCGAATCAAGCGCAAGGCCCCACTTCCTCCGTCAAATGGCAACAACAGTAAGAGCACCGAACCCAAAGCCAGGCCTACCTCCGAGCCCAGTGGGAAAACCACTCAGAATGGCAAAAGGACGAGAAAGTTTGGGGTCATTACCAGAACTGTTCCGGGTGGTAAGGACAGCAAGAGCACCTCTAGAACAGATCAGGAGAACAGACATTGCGCCCTGGATGGGTTGCATTCAGAGGCATCCAAAACAGAGAACCAAGCAGACGATCAGCTTCTCACGGCAGACTTCCCTTTTCCAGCAGACCATTACCGCTCCCGTCTTTCAGAGGGAGGCATTCTAGACCTGAACTCCAGCGAAGCATCCTTGCAGGTAAAGACTTTGAAAACTTTCAGTACTTGGGTACCAGAAATATTTCTTTAAAAAAAAAAAAGAGGTAGCGTTCCTTCAATATTTTAACTTTCTTTGAATATTTAGTTGTGTGCAATGCAGGAAAAGATTAAAATGGTCCATTGAGCCACGGTGGCGCAGTGGTTAGAGTGCAGTATTGCAGGCTACTTCTGCTGACTGCCGGCTGCCTGCAATTTGGCAGTTCGAATCTCACCAGGCCCAAAGTTGACTCAGCCTTCCATCCTTCCGAGGTGGGCAAAATGAGGACTCAGATTGTTGGGGGCAATAGGCTGACTCTGTAAACTGCTTAGAGAGGGCTGTAAAGCACTGTAAAGCGGCATATAAATCTAAGTGCTATTGCTATTGCTATTCTGGCCTGGGAGTTCTGGGAGTTGAAGTCCACACATCTTAAACTGCCAAGGTTGGGAAACTCTACTCAAATGAATCAGTTTAAGGACAGGATACTTGAGTGTTAAAGCAACTAGGTCTTCTCAGTAAGACTGAGTTTATTTCTGCATGTATGTCTATATAGATATTTCACATTGCTGATGGTTCCAGTGGAAATGTGCTCTGTGCATCATGTATATATATACACTATGGAAGTATTGTTTTAAAGTAGGTACCGGGAACCTTCTAGAGGATATGGCTGCTTTAAGATTAGGGGCTTTGCTTGTACTAGGGCACTTGCACTGCCTATTGTATTCTGGACTGGAGCTTCAGAATTGCCCCTCCACAAGTAAGCACTAAAAATTCAAGCCTGTTATTTGAAAAATAATTTTTGGCAGAGTGAGCAAGGCAGGAGGCCATTTCCTAGACTTAATCATTGTATAAACTTGTGTGTTTAATGTACATCATTAGTGCCAAGTTGGTGGCAATAAGAGGCAAGCTGTTGCGCTAAGAGCTGAAGTATTGTGTGTTTGAGGCAAAATATTGAATATTGAAATGTTGAATGCTAAATATGAAAGCTTTCAGCTCAGTTAATGCTCCAGACAAAACGGAACTGAGAGCACGGAAAGAATTCCCGCCACGATTCTGCAGACTGTTTACAAATATGCGAAAACCGAGTTGCATTTTCACAGTGTCTTGAGGTTAGGGGTTTTTTTTGTGGCTTAAGTTGATGTATAAACACTGATTGTATCATGCGACTCCAGAAAATATGTTAAGCATATAGGACAATTCCAGCTGATCAGAATGTAACTACCGTATTTTCTGAAGTATAAGACGTTCCGGACTATAAGATGCACCTACCTTTTTTGGTGAGGAAAACAAGAAAAAGAAATCTGCCTCTGCCTCCCAGCAATTTTGCCTCATTGCAGCAAACAGCAAATAGCTGTTACTTTCATCTTCATTTTCAGCATAGCTTGATTAGTACAAGAAAAAAAAATCTGCTCCAGCAATTTACCTCCTTGCAGCAAGCAGCAGAGGCCCAAGCAAAACAGCTGAGAGCCGGGAGGCCGATCCAGTCGACTTGTGCTAATTAGGCTGTGCTGAAGCTGGAATGGGCTGTTTCTTCTTACTGCAAGGAGGTAACTGCTGGGAGGCAGAGGCCAAAGGGTGGGGGCCAGTGGGTGGGCGGGGCTACATTTGGTTTATAAGACACACCTAAATTTTCACCCCCTTTTAGAGGGGGAAAAAGGTACATCTTATACTCCGAAAAATACAGTACATGTGCAACTCTGGGCCCATTTTGCAGATCTGCAGTGCAGGGACTAGAAACACCGATAGAGCAGTTCAATTAGGTCAGAGGTCTTCAAACTTGGCAGCTTTAAGACTTGTAGACTTAGCTGGCTGGAGAATTCTGGGAGTTGAAATCCACAAGTCTTAAAGCTGCCAAGTTTGAAGACCTCTGAATTAGGTATTTATGAATATTTTCAGATCTTCACTGGAACACTAGCTTCATGCTGCAATTCTCATTAGTTTTCCTTAACAAAAGCGAGTGGACTTTATTTGTTTTCCATGTGTAAGAGGGGTGGAGGGACACCTGCTGAGACCACAAAACCTGATGAATCTTCATGATTACAGAGGAGAGATCTTGCAAACCAAGAGTTGAAAATGTTGGCATAGCTGTTTGCAAACCAAATGAGCTCCAGGGAATAGTCTTCCATCAGCACTCAAGCTCCTCACATAATTTCCTTGGCAAGACCTTTAAACTTTCTTCAGGGTTATCGCAACCACCTGAACAAATATAATCACCCTTTGTTTTTAAAATTATTTAGAAACACGATTTGCCTGGACTGATTTTCTTTTTTTCCCCAAAAGCTGGTTCTCTTCACTTGCTCATACCTTCTTTTTGCCTTCATCTAAGCTAAAGTTCACCTCAAGCCTGTGACCTTATTAATGTATAAGCATTCAACCGTAGGTACTACATGGAGCAGACCGACAAGGAACAGCACATCTTAGTATTTATAAAATACCTTTTCCTGTGTCAGAAAGCACCTCCAGGGATACTAGTTTATCTAAAGGTACAAACCTGTAGAAATAAAAACAGGTTTATTGTCCTTATTCATCTTCTGAATTAAAAGTTTTACTCACATGTTCATATCTGTTCCACCTAGTCTTATTGACTAGGCTGGGTTAGAAGAATCAAATTGTGGGATGTCCATCATCTATGATACCTTGTTTCAGGGTGGATTTGATTTAAATCGAGTTGATTTAAATCACTAGTAAAAAGGCTTGATTTAAATCAACTCGATTTAAATCATAATTTTTAAAGAGCAACTGTCATCTCTGCTACTCCTTTGACCCACTGTTGACTCACCGATAGTCCCAGTGTTGCAGAATATACAGCCTCATGCTACATAACTAAGCTCCATTTCATGCTGAATAAACTAAATTATTTATGTATCTTAAATAGAAAACTATCTTATGATAGATTTTTACCCCAAAAGTTTTTTATTAAAATAAATTCAATAAAAATCAAAAAAATCCGATTTAAATAAAAAAAATCTGATTTTTTTTATTTTTTTAAAAAATCATTGATTTTTATCCACCCTGCCTTGTTTTATATGATGGCTAGAAAATACTACAATTCCCATACATTTTTTTTTAACTTTCCAGTGATTGGTCCCTCAAACATTGTCAAGTGTCACCTTCAGAATTTTCTTCCCTCTCCTGCTTCTTTCCACTAGAACAGGGGTGTCAAACTGGGGGCCCGCAGGCCGGATGCGTCATACACAGGCCACGCCCACCGCAGCTCTGCGAAGGAAAAAAAAGTTGCAATATATCACGTGATGGCAACGTGACACGGCAAGTTTGACACCTGTGCACTAGAACATCAGTATCTTATTCAGTTTAGAAGAGGGCTTTTAGTTGTTTTGAAGCCATGTTTTATTTTCAAAACCTTTTTGTGTCTTCTCCAAAGTCAACGTTCTCTATATGGCCGTGATGGCAAACCTACGGCAGGCATGCTAGAGGTGGTACGCAGCGCCTTCTCTGTGGGCATGCGAGCCGTCACCCCAGTTCAACTCCGCCACTCATGCGTGTGTGCCTCCTACTGGCAAGCTGGTCTTCAGGTCCCTGCCACGCATGCGTGGGGGGGCGTGCGCATGTAGGGGGTGTGGCGCATGCAGGGGCGTGCACATGCTTGGGGTGCATGTGGGGGGTACATGTGGGGGGCAGGGTGTTGCAGGGATCACATGTGCATGTGTAGGGGTGCAAGGGGCATGCAGGGGGCATGCGCATGCATGGGGGCAGTGATGGTATTCAGCCGGTTCTGTCCGGTTTGGGTGAACCGGTAGGGGCAGCTGCGGGAAGCTCTGCCCACCCGCCCAGACATCATTACATCTTGTTTTTGACGCTCTGCGCATGCATGGAAGGCCCGCGTTCACATTTGTGAATCAGTAGCGAAGGTAAGTTAATACCACCCCTGTGCGGGGGGCAAGGAGCGTGCGCGGGGGCCACACACGCTTTGCATTTTGGGGGTTCAGGCACGTACTTTGGGCACTTGGTCTGGAAAAGGTTAGCCATCACTGGTATATGGTATGTAAGCTGAAATCTTGCTTCCTGCTTTTTGCGCTGCTTTAGATGCGCTTATATAACCTGTCTTTTATAAGTGCCTTTTCATATATACGCCTAACGTAGAACCACATATGTATTCTAGTTATTCTTTTAGAGCTGCCCAATTCAACCAAGATAACTCTGGATGGGTCACAAAAAAATCCAACAAAACCCACCAGACAAAAGAATACAAAGCCACAATTCTACAAACAATAATAAAACAATAAAAAGATAAAATGGTGATCCTAATAGAAATAATGTCAACATCCAATTAGGGCTCCAGCACATCAGAAACAAAGGCTCGGAAAGAGCCATGTCTCGACAGGCTTCCTGAAGACCAGGACAGTTGGTCCAAGTGAATGTCAGGAGATAGAGACCACCACCAAAATGCATACATAACAGACTATAACAGAACAACAGAGTTGGAAGGGACCTTGAAGGTCATCTAATCCAACCCCCAGCTCAGGCAGGAAACCGTATACCATTTCAGACAAATGGTTGTCTAATCTCTTCTGAAAAAACCTCCAGTGTTGGAGCATTCACGACTTCTGGAGCCAAGTTGTTCCATTGATTAATTGTTCTGTCAGGAAATTTCTCCTTAGTTCTAGGTTGCTTCTCTCCTTGATTAGTTTCTACCCATTGCTCCTTGTCCTGCCTTCAGGAGCTCTGGATACTTCCTGAGATCTATCAGATTAGAATTACTGGATATCTGCATCAACAAAGGAAGACGGGGGACTTTTAGAAAGAAGGACAAATGGAGGCGGGGAGAAGAGAACACATTAACTTTTTAACTATGTTGGCATCTGCAAGAAAAATTACAGGGGAAAACTGCAACAACAAAAAAATAGAGAGGTCTACATGTATATGAAATGATTTGCTGGCGTCAGACTAGTTTTTCAATCCCAGGAATGTGCTAGAGCTGGTTAGGAGGCAAAAGCTTTCAGCGTGTCACTGATTAAATCTTTTGAGGAAGAGATAGCTTGTAG